TTTTTTTTTTTTTTTTTTTTTGCGGTACGCGGGCCTCTCGCTGTTGTGGCCTCTCCCGTTGCGGCGAACAGGCTCCAGACGCACAGGCTCAGCATCCATGGCTCAAGGGCCCAGCCGCTCCGCGGCACGTGGGATCCTCCCAGACCGGGGCACGAACCCACGTCCCCTGCATCGGCAGGCAGACTCTCAACCACTGCACCACCAGGGAAGCCCCGGATTTTCTTTTTTTATTGGACACTTTAGAATTATTATTGAGATGGTTCATTTTCTCATAAAATCCTTAAGATCACATGCAAAATGGATTGGTTTAAGTTTTAGAAACTTGCTTTTTACTGTCAGGATGCTATGCTCTTCTGATATATGAAAGCCAGCAGATGGCTGCATCCTGTTTGAGATTAGAAATACCTCCTTCCCCAGGCTTGCTTGCTTCTTTGAAACTACCCTTTATTTCATTGTTTTATTCTTCCCTCTCCCACCCTATACACATGGCTCATGGTTGGGCTTTTGGGTGGAAAAACAAACTTCACAGGTGATTTAAATAAAGCCGGCTAGGAATACACAGTTCACAGTTGTTCAGCTGCTCTACTTTGATTGAAATATCATGGTTGCTCACTAGAGAATAAATTATGCTGGTCTGCAGTTCACCAGTACATATTTAGTAGTAGACTGGTAGGTTGAAATTAAGCCAAGGGCTTGATCCACTTTGGACTAGTGTCTGGTTCTCCATGTTTGGAAAGAAAACACGTATAAGATTATGCAGAAGAGAAAGCAGTAGCCTCATTTTACATATTCTGATACAAGTGATCCTATTAATTAAGTACATATTGGTATTACATAGTTATATATAATAAGTGCTTCTTATAAGCAAATTATAAATATTTTAAATAATTAGTTAGAAATATGTTAAAAGCTCGGGCTCTGGTACATGCCTTTGCCACCTGTTAATTCCATAATCTTGGGCAAGTTGGTTAAGCTGTATGCTGCGTTTTCCTTCTTGTAAAATGGGACTAATAGTACCGACCTCAGGGTTGCTGTACGGGTTGAAAGTGTTAATACAGCTAACATGCTTAAAACAGAGTGCACAGTAAGTACACAATGTTATGTTAAATCGAGTGAAATTGCCAATATTTGTCCTTTTTTGACTTAGCAAAAGTTTCATATGGTTCAACCTAGTACACAAACATATTAATTAAAAAAATAGGGCTTCCCTGGTGGCGCAGTGGTTGAGAGTCCGCCTGCCGATGCAGGGAACAAGTGTTCGTGCCCCGGTCCGGGGAGATCCCACATGCCACGGAGCAGCTGGGCCCGTGAGTCATGGCCACTGAGCTTGCGTGTCCGGAGCCTGTGCTCCGCAATGCGAGAGGCCACAACAGTGAGAGGCCCGTGTACCCGCAAAAAAAAAAATAAATAAATAAAATAATTGTTGTTCAATCAGAATTACATTATGGATGTGATTTACTGATCAAAATCCATTGAATCGGTATGACTGGGGATAGAGCCTGGCAACTAAACTAAAGCCAACAATAATCTCTGCAGGTGACTCAGATGAGCAGCCAGGTTTGGGAATTCTTGACTTACAGTATCACTCAGGAGGGTTTATATACTGCGGAGAGAATAACATTCATAGTCAAGAGAATGAGTCTAGAGAGGAATTTTGCCTCAGGATGAATCATATTTCAGGTCTCATCCGCATCTGATTTAGGTGATATTTAGATGAGAGTTTGGACTTCAGACTTTAGAGTTGATGCTGGCATGAATTATGACTTTTGGGATTGGTGGGATGGGGAGAATGTGTTTTGCATGTGAGAAGGACATGGATTTGGGGGGTAAGGGGTGAAATGCTATGGACTGAAGTGTGTCCCCCCCACCCCAGAATTCATAAGCCCTCAGCCCCAGTTTGATGGTATTTGGAGGTGGTGCCTTTGGGAGATGCCCCTGATAGTGGGATTAGTGCCCTTATAAGAAGAGATGTAGAAAAATAAAAAAAAATAGAAGAGCTGTAGAAAGCTTGTTCTTTCTTCTCTGGCCATAACAGGACACAGTGAGTAGGCAGCTGTTTATAAGCCAGGAAGAGAGTCCTCACCAGAAACCTATGATACTGGCACCTTGATCTTGAACTTCTAGCTTCCAGAACGGTGAGAAAAGAAATTTCTGTTGTTTAAGCAACCAGTCTGTGGTATTTTTTATGGCAGGCAGAGCTAAGACACCTAATTCCTCCCTCCAGTCCTTTGTATCACTGCTGTCATTCATTTTACTTACACATAAGCATATGTATATTTACATAAGCATAAATAATCTAATTTTCTGCTATTATTATTTTGAACAAACTATTGTCTGTTACATCAATTAAGAATAAGAAAAAAAGGTTTTAATTTTACCTGTACTTATTCCTTCTGGAACTGCTCTTCTTTTCTGTATGTGGATCCAAGTGTCTGGCTTATATTATTTTTCTTTTCTCTGAAGAACTTCTTTTTTTAATGTTTCTGGCAATGTCAGTCTCCTGGGAGCACATTTCATTAATTATTGTTTGTCTGAGAAAGTCTTTTATTTCTCTTTCACTTTTGACGGATCATTTTGCAGAATATAAAATTCTAGGTTGGTGTTTTTTTTCTCTCTTGCTTGCATGGTTTCTGAGAAATCAGATTTAATTCTTACCTTTGCTCATCTGTAAGTAAGGTGTTTTTTCCCCTCTGGTTTTTTCCAAGATTTTTTCTTTATTTTTGATTTTCCACAGTTTGAATGTGATATACCAAGTTGTGGGGGTTTTGGCATTTTTCCTGCTTGGTGTTCTTTTAGCTGCTTGGATCTGTGGTTTGGTGTCTGACAACCTGAGGGAAATTCTCAGTCATTAATGCTTCAAATATTTCTTTCTTTCTCTTTTTCTTCTGTTTCTGGTATTGTTATTACATGTATGTTACACCTTTTATAGTTGTCCTGCTAAAAAATGTTCTTGAATATTGTTCTGTGGGGTTTTTTTTTTCCAATCTTTTTTCTTTCTGCTTTATAGCTTTGGAAGATTTTATTGAGATACCCTCAAGTGCAGTGATTTTTTTTTCCCTCAGCTGTGTCCTGTCTACTAATGAGCACATGAAAGACATTTTTCATTTCTTCTACAGTTTCTCATCTCTAGCATTTCTTTTTTTGATTCTTCCTTAGAATTTTCACCTCTCTGTATACATTACCCATTTCTTCTTGCATGTTGTCTACTTTGTCCAGTAGAGCCCTTAGCATCTTAATCATAGTTGTTTTAAGTTTCTGGTCTGATAATTCCAACATTCCTGCCATATCTAACTATGCTAATGATGCCTGCAGTTTCTTCAAACTGTGTTTTTTGCCTTTTAGTATGCCTTATAATTTTTTCCTAATAGTGGGACAATTAGGTCTGTCTCTTAGTGAGCTTGTGCCCTGGACTGTGAACTTCACAAGTGGTTGGCTAGAGGTAGCTGGAGTTGGTTATTTCCCATCCCCCAGGTTAGCTGGGCTCTGGTAATAGCCCAATAGAATAGGCTCCAGTAAAACTGTTTCTCTTGAAGTTAGGCCTTGTTAAGAAGAACAGAGTGCTCTCCTGTATTTCAAAATGATTTACTTTTCCTCCTCTCCCTGCAGAAGAACTAGGGAATTTTTTTCTGATAGTCACTGTGAGAACCTGGTAGAACCCTTGGAGCAAAAACTCACATAACTGTCAGGCCTCCCCTCCCCAATGTCTGGGTCCCTTTTGAGTTTTTAACTCTCAGACTTGTCCACACTGAGCCTCCAGCAATTTGTCAATTACAGTTCAGATTTTCCTACACCAACAGTGGTTCCAGCAGAACCTCTTTCGCTGGTTCCCATGCAAGTTTCTGCTCTGGTAAGTTGTATTTCTTTGTATCCATCCTGTCTGTCTCTTCAGTTTTGGAGGCAGCAGTTTGCCTCATAAGGTCACTTCTCTAATGGATCTGGGAAGGATTATTGATTTTTTAGTTTGTTCAGCTTTTTACCCGTTATTAGATGGAGTGCTGACTTCCAGACTCCTTACTGCCAAACTGGAAGTCCTCGTTTATTTTTCTTTGCTTCCCCAAAGAACTTCACTTGTTACCTGATCTTTCTTTTTCATAATGTGTTTCATTGTTCCTGGGTGCTCTTACCGAGGCTGGCGTGACTTGTTCACTTCCAGGATGTCTGTACCCAAAATCCTACTGCCTCCTTCTCCTTAACTAAACTGAATCCTTTAATGAGGCCCCCTCGCTAAGGTGAATTTGTGCTAACAGCAAATGGTACCAGTAAGGTCCCATTGTATTAGTCACATTTTGGGAGAGCGTTTTATGCTGCTTTGGGTGTGAAGAATTAGTTCATGCTAATTTCCACTTAAATTGTTAAGACTTAATACATTGTCCTTAATACGCTGAACTGTACTGTAATTGCCTCATGCTTTTTTAACTCCTTGAGGTCAAGAATCTTCCCTCTTTCCTTAGTGTCTGCCACAAAAGTATTTGTAAAGTGTGGGATTAAGGGTATCATTTACAGAGTTAGGATGTAGAAATCCCTAATTTGATAGTCCAGGTATATATTATTTCTTAACACATGTGTAGATCTTATTTTAAAATTTATATTTTATAATGTTAGGCAGTGGAGATATCTGACATGTTTATACAGATTCATCCTAGGTCTTACATGTATGTTTCCTAGGTCTTACATGTATGTTTCCTTCATTTTACAGATGGGAAGATACAGAGAGTGATACATGTTGCTTATAGAGTTGTGATATGCTAGGGACTCATAATTATTATTATTTGATATGTTTCCCTTTTCTAAAAATGCTATTTAATCATATTTGCAAATGTGTAGAGATAGAGTAGAGGTACTAGAATTTTGAGATTATAATGATATACCTTAGATGATGGAAATATTCTAGGGTTTAAGTCAGGTTTTGTTAGAAGTCAGAATCCAATAGTCTTATACAGCTTAAGTAATTTATTATGTTGCATTTGTGTTTTTGCAGACTGTTCTCTTTGCATAAGAAAATTTCTGTCCTATAAAACACAGTGTCCAACTTGCTGTGTGGTGAGTTTTTCTTTTCTTTTTTTCCTTTAAACTAAGTGGTGCAGATATTTCTGCTTCATGTATACACAGAAGCCCATGGGAAGATGTATAATTATTGAATTAAGCTATATCAAAGACAGTTTCAGAAAGGACTTATAAAATACGTATATGGAGAACTGGGCTTTGTTCAACTTTTCATAAAGGTTTCTGATAACCTAAATGTATTTTAGGAAGAAAAAACTAATTTTAAGATCAGGACATAGCACACTTTAAATCTTATGAACTGTGTTTTTATGGCTCCTCACTTTTTATAATTTCTCAACTTGGGTAGAAAATCTGATGGTAGGATCATTTATTTGCAAAGGATTGATGTTTAAGTATTTGTGCGGAAGGCAAAGATTCAGCTTAACTGGCCCCTTACGTCTTTCCCAAACCAGACCTTCAGGGAAAACACCAAGAAATTTGTTAAAGTTTCTGAAGCATTTTATGTAGTGGAAATAGCTGAAAAGGTATGAAAAAAGGGAAGGTAAACATAAGTAGGAATAAAGAAAGGAGAAAAAGAGATAGCAAGGTCTGATAGAAAGGACACTGGGGCCAATTAAAGGGTTTGGGTTCTAGTTTGGTGCCTCTGGTAGGTGCATGGTGTCAGGATGTCACTGAACTTGTTTGGCTCCCAAGTCTAAGCTCTTTCCAACTAGGGATGCTGCTGTCATCAAGATGGTATCATCACAGAGATAAAGTGTATGCCATTTATGCTAGATAACTACTGGGTTTATCGTTTTCCTCTTGCAGTCTTGAACACCAATCTTGTTTTTAATGGCTCTTTGAGCACCTAAGGCTCTCGTGTTATTACTTTAAAAGAGCATCTCTGTTCTGCTTTTCAGGAGACATTTTTGGGAAAGCTGAGTGCTGGCATTTTGAAGAAGGATTCTTGCTCATATTAGGTTTTATCTTAGTACAGAGTACATATGTTTTTACCAGATGCTTTGGAGAGTTTTTAAACAGACTTCCCGTCAGCAGATAGTGAGTCACTGTTTTAAAATTCCGTATTAGTATGAGATGAATGAACTTTATTTTGAGGTTTTCCTGGAAGACTTAGTGGGATGGGGAATCTCAGGAGGATGAGACATACGTTTTCAAAAACAAGATTATGACAAGTTAATTATTGTTTCTGACCTTTTTCTATCTGTTGTTTTTCTTTTCCAGACAGTCACAGAGCCGGACCTGAAAAATAACCGCGTATTAGATGAACTGGTAAAAAGCTTGAATTTTGCACGGTATGATTTTCTTTGTGACTAATCCCTAACTGCTTTTGCCTTTTATATGTGTCCGTCCCTTTACTCTGTGCACTTTTCGGGATTAGGGAATGCAGGGCTGCATATTTGGGGGTAAAAGAAGGGATGCAACAACAGTCATTAATCACATACGGACAATCCAATCATAATAGCATCTTCCTTTACCTAACAGAAAGTCTCCTGTTATGAAAAACAAGAGTTAAAATGTAGATTTTGGCACTTAACTTTCGAGTATTTCAGAACTACTTCAGCTTTATCTTTTATTTTCCCTGCCCCAGCATTAGAATCAACCATTTTCCCAAGGAGCCCTGGTTTCTTTTATTGGAGAATGGCATTTAGAAATCAGGATCTGGAGCTGGGTATGCTCATTGTTACTGGGGTGTCATTGCTTCTAAACCCTCTCAGTGGACAGAGCTGGGTAGCATATGCATGTGTATGTGTACACACATATATGTATAATAGTTTCTGTGTCATATATTGATCCATTAATTCTTAATCCGATTTGCTCAGCATGTATAAAATGATGTGTAACATGAAATGTGTAATTGCTGGTGCTTTATAAAGTGTAGCTTTACTTCTTAACTGTCAAATGTATGATGGTGATAGGCAGTGCTCACCCAGAGGGATTTAAAAAGGCATGTTTTATCAGACAATATCTTGAATTATTTTTAGTTTTAATCATGCAAGCCAAGCAGGAGTTTTTGGAGTTTTTATTAGGAACATAGTGTGTTTAGTTAATGGTTAGGTGCCCACATACTTAAGTACATGAATTCCAAGCTTGTTGGGACATTCTTGGAGGTTCATCACATTACTTCTAAAAATGTAAAGAGATTTCTTCCAGTAGAATTGCACATTTTTTCATTGGTTTGCATACTAAAAATGATCACATTTAGTACTCTGAACTCACCTAGTAAGGCATTTTAGAAATCAGCTGGTTGGTTATTTCCCTAGGCAGAGTCATAAGAAGGTGGTATACTTTCCTAGATTAAGACACTCTGAGATTCTCTGGTGCTCATAATTAAAGTGATTGCTTTTCTTATTTTAAAGTCCTTCACCAGTTAGATATTGAAGTTGGTAAGAAAAGGTGGAGACATGTATTTAAAAAGGAATTGATCGGCTGTTTGCTTTTCTCTGAGGCAGCAAAATTGTATCTCATGGCTTATTTTTTCCTCAGCTGGTATTGAAAGCATAACAGCCTCCCTGCTAGGAAAAAGGGACTGTTACCAAGAACTGCATCTGTTTGTTGAAGATAAATGATCAGCATCTTTGGGTTCATAGACCCTTTGGTAACTTAAAGGGAGGCCTTGGAATGATTGCGCTCTCTCCTTCTCTCCTCCCTCCCCAAAGAAATAGGCTATTTAAAGATTCTTTGTATTGGGTGTGGCGGGGTAGGAAGCATTCTTTGTAGATTTGGGACGGATTTTATCATTTGTTTCTCCCTCTGTTTGCCTTCTTGGAATTGCTTTATGGGGAACAGTTCTTGGACATTTGTCATATCTAAAGTGCTGTGGTACTCCGTTTGCAAAATTAGTAGGGTTGAAATTCAGCGTAATTGGTTTCATTACTTGTTTGAAATTTGGTTTAGATCAGTGAGGGAGGAAGTTTAATTTTATGAGTAAAATGTAAGTTACTTATATTGTTTATTGACTTTATTTCTTCCTGTGCTTCCCATCTGTCATTGCCATTTTATGATATTATGATTTTTAAAAATTTAATATTCTAAACTGAATAACAAAAGAGTATTGGAAATAATTCCAGAGGTTTTCAGGCACAAGGCTGACATGTGGATCTTACATTTTCTTCTAACTTTTGCCCTTTATTTTCAGGAAACAAGTGTTTTGTTTTCTTTTTTCCCTTGACTCTTTTTTTTTTTTTTTTAAGGGTTTTCAGCCATTCTCTAATGTGGTTTAATTAATTTTTTTTTTTGTGCTGTGTTGGGTCTTCGGGGGCACGAACCTGCGTCCCCTGCATCGGCAGGCGGACTCTCAACCACTGCGCCACCAGGGAAGCCCCCCTTGACTCATTTTTATTTAAAATAATGTTCTTAAGAAACTGTTGTATTGAAAAAAATTTATTTAGAATACTGTCCAAGTGGAACATCATTCTTTTTTTATTTTAAATGAATTTATTTATTTTTGGCTGCGTTGGGTCTTCGTTGCTGTGCGCGGGCTTTCTCTACTTGCGGTGAGCAGGGGCTACTCTTCGTTACGGTGCGCGGGCTTCTTACTGTGGTGGCTTCTCTTGTTGCAGAGCATGGGCTCTAGGCATGCGGTGCGGACTCTAGAGCACAGTCTCGGTAGTTGTGGTGCACAGGCTTAGTTGCTCTGTGGCATGTGGGATCTTCCTGGACCAGAGCTCAAACCCGTGTCCCTGCATTGGCAGGCGGATTCTTGACCACTGCGCCACCAAGGAAGTCCCTGGAATATCATTCTTGACCTAAGCAAGAAAATGTTATTTTTGTATTTTTGCATAACAGCCAGTCTGCATGTATATTATATGTTTTTACAAATTGAGAGTATAGAGCGTTATTTATTGCTTTGCATGTATATTATATTTTTTTAGAAATTGAGAGTATAGAGCATTATTTATTGCTTTGGTTTATCCACCATCAAGGTATGAATTTTTCTCCAGGTACTTTTTCCAAGTTTAAAAATTTAAACAGGGACATCCCTGGTGGCACAGTGGTTAAGAATCCGCCTGCCAGTGCAGGGGACACGAGTTCGAGCCCTGGTCCGGGAAGATCCCACATGCCACGGATCAACTAAGCCCGTGTGCCACAACTACTGAAGCCTGTGTGCCTGGAGTCCGTGTTCCACAACAGGAGGAGCCACTGAAATGAGAAGCCCATGCACCACAACGAACAGTAGCCCCCTCTCACCGCAACTGGAGAAAGCCCGCGTGCAGCAACAAAGACCCAATGCAGCCAATGAATGAATGAATGAAAGAATAAATAAATAAATAAATAAATTTAAACAGATGATAATGGATAATTCCCTTAGCATCTCACAAGAGTATGTAGAGTATAATTTCACCTTTCCTTTTGGTATAATTTAAAGCATACTGGGTTTGGGTTCAGGCAGAATTAGGTTCCAGTCTTGACCCTACTAGTTTTGATATAAGTGTGATCAAGATATTAATCCTTTTTGGCTTCTATTCCACATCTGAACAATGGGAATAATATTGTTGACACTTTGAGGAATTGTAAGGATTAGAAATGAAGAGATATATTAAAACATATATAGCGTAGTAGTGTATCTGGAACAAAGGAACGTAAGAAAAGGTTCCTTTCATTACTATCTATATATTTTATCTATTTATATTGTGTTGCCCTGTTATACATATGTGCGTGCCCTAAGGAGCTAATGAGACCTTGTGCTTTGGTGGGCCTCTGCCTGTTTGACCAAATGGTCCTAGACTGCCGTTTGCATGTTCCAGATTAGAACAAATATTTGCAGGGACATTTACTAGTGGCCAAAGTCCATGGACTTGACTGCATGGATTTTATGACTGTCCATGTCTACCCAGAGGCCTGTTTTCACTTTTGATTCTTAGCCACATTCTGAAGAGGTAAAGTTATTGTGTAGTTAACAAATGGGGAAGATTTTCCTGTATTTTATTGTCACAGTTATTCTGAAAGTCCATAATTCATCCAGTTTGAATGTCTGTGAGGAATGCTGTTCGGTGCTATAATGCCAACTCACTTGAATATACAGGAGTGATGGAAAGTGAAGGAAAAATTAGCAATTCAGTCTGAGTATCAATTTTGGAATTAATATTTTTACACAGCTCATTTTTAAGGTATGTGAATTGCCGTAAACAGTCTCATGGTTTTTTTTTTTTTTTTGCGGTACGCGGGCCTCTCACTGTTGTGGCCTCTCCCGTTGCAGAGCACAGGCTCCAGACGCACTGACTCAGCAGCCATGGCTCACGGGCCCAGCCGCTCCGTGGCATGTGGGATCTTCCCGGACCGGGGCACGAACCCGTGTCCCCTGCATTGGCAGGCAGATTCCCAACCACTGTGCCACCAGGGAAGCCCCAGTCTCATGGTTTTAAATACCAGTTGTACGTTCGTGGCTTCCAGATTTATATATCAGCTAGATCTCTCTCCAGGACATCAGCGTCACATATCCAACTGCTTATCTCACACCTCTGCTTGGACCCCTTAAAACCAGAACTAAACTGATTCCCTCTGCTGCCCCCCAGGCCCCACTCCCAATCTGCTGCTCCCACAGTCTCGCTCATCTCAGTAAATGGCAGCTCCCACCTCTCTTCCTCAAGGCCAAAAAACCTTGGGGTCATCCTTGACCCCTCTCTTTCACTCTTAGTGTGTCATTCCATCAGTAAATCTCATTGGTTCTATCTGTGCTCTCCTTCCAGAATCTGACAGCTTTCCCTCACTATGCCAATCCTGTTCAAGCCAGCGTCAGCCCAGATACGGTGATTACTTCTTAGTGGTCTTACCTCTGCTTTTGTCCTCTTACAGTCCTTCTGAGGGCAGCAACCAAACCGATCCTTGAAAATAAAAAGTAGGTCATACTGCATGTCGTTCAGATGTGGTTTCCTATCTCATTTGGAGCAGAACCCCAAGTCGTCTCGATGGCAGTCCTCTGGGCCCTGCAGAGTAGGCTCCCTGACTTCCTTGCCTGCTTCTCTCCCCCAGGTCAGTTAGCTCCAGTCACCCTGGCCTTCTCCCTGTTTCTCAAACACGTTAATCACACTCTGACCTTAGAGACTCTGTGCTTACTGTTATTTCTAAGTGAAAGTGTTTCCCTAGATGTCCACACAGTTTAATCCTCTACTTTCTTGGGCTGTGTTTTTCATAGGCATCTTCTCAGTGAAGTCTTCTGTGACCATCCTGTAAAGAGTATCAAGCTTATCCTCTCCTAATTCATGGCTTCATCGGCTTCCTATTTTTCAGAGTAATTTTCACATATGTTGTGGGTGTCTATTCTCTCTTCCCTTACTATAGTGTAAACTTCATG